ACCCATCTTGCCTTTCATTGTTTACCTTTATTTCTCCCTTTTCCTTCCCAGTTCTATTCAGTTTGGGGCGCAAATCTAGATCAAAGAATGTATTATTAATAGATAATAAAGGATAATTAGCAAAATAATCTGACTGTATTATCATAGGCTTTCTCTAGTTATTTGTCTTGATTGTCAGGATTCTAATGAGCATAAGCACCATTGATGAGGTATACTCTGGGCTCCCTGAGGGTGGCTGAAGAAAGGATTGCATCGAAAAGTTGGTTATAACCATTTCTTCTGTTCTAGACTGTTAATTGGAGAGGGGGTCGCAAGGAGAGATGCATCGATACTATTTTTTCAGAGTTTAGAGCATAAATATTTTCTAAAGTTATCTCAAGATATAAAATTTCAAAGAAGACCAAGGAGAAAACTTCTTAAGTTTTGTACAAAATGGAAGGGAAAGATAGATAGGAGCCATATGAAAGTAAAAGTAAGGCTGGAGGGAAAAATGGGGAGACATTATGGAAATGGTTAATGAAAAACAATGGATACTTAAAAGAGTCAGTAGCTACAGAGCTTCTGAGATGGATTGGATAGTCTATAAACTGACAATACATAATGCTGATTTTCAACAAATTGGAGTAGAAATTCAGATGACTCAGTGCTTCTCTCTCATAAGATTTTACCTTTCCCTTAAACAGCATTTTGTATTCATACAGTTCTAGTTAGACTTATATTAGTGGGGGAGGTGCTGTCTTGTTATATTAGAGTTGGTGTGTTTTCAAGGTTAACGGCGACCATGAGTATAATTAAAGTCTTCCTACCTTAAGTTGCCATTTAATTTTTTCATCTATGATTTATTTCCATTAAAAAAAATAAGGAGTGTTTTAACTGTAGAAGACTATGAATAATTGGTCTCCTTTTTATTTCAGTGAGTTAGCAGGGGTCACTAGCTAGGTGTAACTTATATTAGGAATTAGATCACATTCTGATTTATAACTTCATATCTTTTCCTTCATTTCAGTATGTATGTTTCACTTCAAGTAAGCTTGGAGGCTTTTGGTTTGTTTGTTTGTTTATTAGTTTGAAGTGCAGAATCAACTTTTTCAGCACTTGTTTTTCAGTCTTTTGTTTATGGAAGCCAAATAAAGTTAAATGACATGCATATATTTTTACAGGTAGATCAAGGAATTAGACCAAGTCATAAGCATTTGATTTTCTCTTCATACATGTTAACCTATCTACCCTCCTAGAATTTAACTTGTATATTAATTGTTCAATATTAGGCACAGGCTTAATAAAGTTATATACAGCAGCCCTCTGCAGTGCAGTGCTCCTCAAATCTTTCCACCAAAAGTTTCTCTAACTGCAGAGGAGAATAAATAGGGAACCTCTGGCAGTCTTGGGATATAGAGTTTAAAGGAACCTATTACAAGGCCGAAATTTGTTTGAATTCTTATGGTTTACTTTATATTTCATGCAAATGTTTATGTTTCTGTATCCCTGTTACTATAAAAATATTACTTTCCATCAGGTAAAATTGATGCTCTGGGAATATGCTTTATATTCATCCTCTGGTTTCAATAATTCCTCCACACTGAGGCATGACTTTGGGGTACTTGTATCCCAGTTTAAAAAGCACAGCTCTAGAGAAAAAGAACATTGAATAGTTCAGAAAAAGTTATGAGCTTGAGCTGAGTTCACATGGCTATAGCAGGAGTTTAGGAGCTGCTGTTCAAAGAGGGAGGAAACCGAGTGTGTCATTTACTCAGGTCACCACCTGCCAGTAGAGGCTTTTACTTGTTGATGATCTTCCGACTTATTAATTATGTCTCTTTTAAAACACTGGTCAGATGATATGTGTAATCTTCTACCTAATGTCTCAGAATACATCTAAAGAAAAAAAAAGTATAAAAACTTATATGTTTCTCCCATATCCCTACTCCACATTTTAAAAAGTGTCTTTTTTTCTGATTATAATACACAATCAATGTAATCATTACTTTCTGATTATGTTCTTATTTTAAGTAGACAATATAAACTAATGGCTTAATAAAATTTTCTTATGAGCAGTTCTTCATTTACTTAGCTTTTCCTGTCTTTCTACATTAAGGTAGCTTAAAACTTGTTTGCTATGATGAATAGTCTGCAATCAGTATCCTTGTACATAAATCTTTGGGGAGATCTTTGATCTTTTTGTACTAGAATGCATTTCTAGACATAAAATTATAAAGTAAAAAAATATGACCCAATTCTGCCCTGGCTGGTGTTGCTCAGTTGGTTGGACCATCGTCTGATACACCAAGAGGCTGCAGGTTCCATCCCCATCCGAGGCATATGCTGGAGAAGGCCGATTGGTGTTTCTCACATCTATGTTTCTCTCTCTCCCTCTTTCTAAAATCAAGATATATTTTGGTACTTTGCAGAATCTAGCCTTAGTACGTTAAAAGTCTGGTGGAATTCTCAACTCTTTTATTTAAATGTTAATATTTGTGCTGTGTCCCACTTATTGAGACCTGAGGACTCGCACCAACACCCCCATCTGACAGCTCCTTGGCCTGCTGAGGAAATTGCACAAATAAGAACCTCTGCCTAGTAGCCTCGCCTCATTCTGCCATTAAAGGGATATGAGTCCTTACAACCAAGTACTTCCCCATTTGACCAAAAGGAGAACCTAGATTGAAATCATGGTCCAGATAGTATACACATTGTAAGGTGTTGGCTTGTGTTGTGGTTGGAATGTCCCTGAGATGGGTGGGAAAGATTGAGGTAAGTTAGCCAGTGATGATTGCTGCTGTTGGCATTCCAGGTATGCTTGCCATGTATAATCGCTGTGCCTTGTCAGCTAAGCCAGATTCCTAAAGTATAACTTTTCCACTGCTCCATTTTGCAATTAAGAATAATTTTGTACCACAAAAAGCTATTCTATGAAGTATTTATCTACTAGTTTAAGGCTCCTCCCAAGGTTGAAGGCACTGAAAATGGTCTTTAAACAACAGATGATGTTTTTCTCTTAGGATTTTCTATGAATGTAGTTTCTCCAGTTCAACCACAGTGTAAACTTTGACTTGTCTGCCCTCTAGTGGATATCTGTGATTAACCAGTGTCCGTTGGCTTTAGGAAAAGTACCCGATTTTTCTTGATTGGCTTTCCAAGTTTAAGGCAATGTTTCCTTAAAAAATGTATTATTGCCACCAAAGCAACATATTTATAATTTTATTCCATTTTCTGAGATGCCAGTAAGAACCTTCCCTGGCTTCCACATCAGGTCAGATGTGGACAGCCTGCCCTCAGCAACTTACCTTTGCAGGTCACAGCCACCCCAATGTATCAAACATATTCCTGCTGTTCTTTCCTTTTACTTATGTCTCAAATGCCTGTCAGTCTCTGTGCTTCTTCAGATCTTTCTCTTTCTTCACAATCAGACTCAAAGCTGATTTGTTCCTGTGAACACTGTACTCACAGTGATAGCTCTCTTCTGAACTCCTGTGAAATGTATTTCCAGTGCCATACATTTACACTGTGCTTGTTGGATCAACTTTTCAAATATAACCATCTTATCTCTTCTGACAGATAAACTTGAGTATGGTACTGTCTCACTCTTCTTTGTGTCCCCTATGAACTCTAGCAGCTCTCAACTAACATGTTGATTATTTATTTGGCATTCAAAGATATCCAAGATCTGAGATGGTGTTGGAGTAGATAGAAGTTACACTCACTTCCTCCCAGGTCCAAACTGGAATTACAACTAAATTATAGAACAATCAACCTGAATAACCAACTAAAGACTAGCTGAACAGAAGTTTTATAACTAAGGATTTACAGAAGAATCCATATGGAGAAGAATCCATAGGATGTGTGGAGATGTGAAAAGCGCTGGCCCTGCACCCATGTGCAGCGGTTGAGAGTCTGGAGGGATTTCTCAGCTGCAAAGGGTCCCCCTGAGGAGAGTGGGATCTCAACACCACATTGGGTTCCCGATCCCAGAGCACCACAGCCACATAACATTGGGCATACTTGGGGTGTCAGAGACTAAGTTGTATGGCTCTGGGGTGGGGGCCATTCCCCCTCCTCCCCACGTGCCAGACTGGCAGCTCCCCACCCATGGGAGATCTACTGGCCCCGCCCTTCCAACTCCCAGTGGCCCTAACCTAGGCTAGAGAGTGGTAAATTATATGCTTTTCGATGTGTTAGGAGGCAGTACTTTATCAGTTTTAATTCTAGCTTCACCATATGAGTTTCCTTGGGCAACTTATTTCTTTCCTCTTTGTGAATTTCAGTTTCTTTATCTGTAAAATATTCATACTTCATTGAGTCTGAATTGCTATAGGTTCTAACACCCTCAATTATTTTATGTGCCACTAAGAAAAAAATCAATATCACAATTAAACTATGATTCAGTTATTTTTTATCACATTGATTTACCCTAAGTTATGTACATTAGAATCAATGAGAATATGGACCATCAGCCCTCTGAGTTTATAAGGAATAAGTAGGACAAAGTGTTGAGCAAGGTGCCCGACACGTTATAGGTACTCAATAAGAAGTAGCCATTATGTTGATGGCAATGGTAATTTGATCATGAACACTTTGTGAAGCGGTACTCATTGTTTAGGTTGTTGTTTGGGGATCAGAATCCTTAATAGGTCATCTTGATGAGATTTGCTGGTGGTAGTCAGAATGCCTGTTCATTTTGAATTTGAAGTAGCATAACAATCATATAACAATATATGTAACAATAATATAACATCTTCAGTTGGTTTTTAGAGGTAATTCTTTAATTATTAGCACTTTGTTATCAATGAAATTTGTAGACTATTGTTGAAGTTTCCTCCGGGAATAACTTCTATTAATGTATATCAACCTCCTCTATATCACTGTTTATAGTGAATTTATTTCAAGTACACAGCATGAAAAAGGTATTCCCTACATGTAAAGCTTAGTAAAATTGCATTGTTGATACTGTGATATGAGACCTTAGGTTGTAAATTATTTTTCTCATTTTTCTTCCTATTTAGGAGGCAGACAGTGGGGAGGAGGAATGCCGGTCACAGCCCAGGAGGTATGTTTGTTCATTATATCCTATAGCATTTCTTTTTGCTGTTAATGGTTTTTTATTACAGTTTACATTTAACATTATTCTGTATTAGTATTAGATGTACAGCATAGTGGTTATACAATCATGTACTTAACAGAGTGGTCCCCCGATATAGTTATTGTGTATAGTGGCCCCATACATAGTTATTACGATATTGACTATATTCCCTATACTGTAATTTACATCTCTGTGGACTGTTCTGTAACTACCAATTTGTACTTCTTCATCTCTTCACCTTTTCACCCAGTCCCCCAACCCATCTCCCCTGTCAACTGTCAGTCTGTTCTCTGTATCTGTGAGTCTATTTCTATTTTGTTTGTTTATTTTGTTTTTTTAGATTCCATATATAAGTAAAATCATATGGTATTTGTCTTTGCCTGATTTATTTCACATCTATAGCCATATCCTGTACATTTCTATAGTTAGTTTTTTTCTCTCATTTTTCTTCAAACTTTTCAAATTATCTTATCCTAGTTTTCCAAAATGCTTAATTTGTCTCTTAAAATAGGATTGCTTTAAGAATCTAGTTACTGACTCATTTAAAATGGTAGATTGTGTTGTTATACACCTTAAACTAATATAATTTTGTATGCAATTATGCCTCAATAAATAAATAAAATGGTAGATTGCTTTTTTAAAAAGTACAGAAAGGCCAATATTGGCCTAATTTTGACCCAAGTCTCCAGAACTATCTTGGGTAATAAAAAAGCAAACTTTCCTTACCTTTTAGGAAAATGTCAACTGAAGAACATTTCAACCTTCAGCTTTGTACTTATGTTTGTAACTCATTTCAATAGACTTTTTAGTTCCTACAGACTGGTTAATATTTCACTTCCTAAATACAAAGGATATATTGAGTAACATACCCATTTCTTTCAAATACAATACACTTTCTCTCTTGTGGAATAGTGGGCATGTTGTTATAAGGGTACCAGTAACTGCTGCCATTAAAAGAAAAAAATTATGAGACATCCAGGAGATATATAATAAAATTCCTATTCCCTCCTTTAAGTGGTTTTTAGAATCAGCTGCCTCCCGTAAGAAAGAGTCCTGGCAAATTCTAGATGGTCCTTTAAATGTTACCAAACTTGTATCCTCTGAACTCAATCACATGAGCCATTCTCAATGATACAGAGAAAGGGTACAACAAGCATGCGCTAAAGATGAATTATCAGCTATTTGTTGATATATACCTCACTCTTATAAACTACAACCTAATATAAAAATTTCCTTTTCATCAGTAACTAAGGTTATTGGCAATATTTTCCCTCTCTTGGTTATCACAAAAATTTTGGCTTAAAGCTTAATGTCCCTTAGGAAATATCTGATAGTGAAGTGTCATTCTTTTGCACAGGGTTAAGAGATAGAAACCAGAAGAAATTTTAGCTGAATGCTTACCAGAAGCATCATAATCTTGTTTCTGTTAGAATGAAAAAGAATTCCAAAGGATTCTTAAATTTTCTAGTAGACAAAATTTAAAGATCTCTGGGTTGATGTTAAGCTTTACGTATTGACTTGGCATCTATGAGGATAATTATTGTTCCAAAAAAATTACATAATGGTGAAGCAGGGAAGTCTATTCTTTTATTCACAGCACTGAATTGCCAAGCCATTAAGAACGACAAAGACCCCGGTTTTAAAAGTTGTTGGCAATACATCATTAATAGGACTAGCAGAGAGTATTTGTAGGCTTCTAGTCACAAGAAAAGGATTATGTATAGAAATAAGAAATGAAGAAAAACCTAGTAGCACCCATTTTTAAAAAATCAAAATTTACTTGCCTGTTGTAATTTCTTACATTGTGTGTTTCCCAGGCTATTTCTAAATCTGAATGCTTTAGTCTGACTCAGAGAAACTTCTCCTGAGTGCCAAATGAATGCCCCTTGTGGCAAGGTGGTATGTGAGGTTGATTTTTGTGTGCTTAGCTGCTATTCTGCTGTTCTCCATCAGTTGCCACAGAATGAACCAGCACTGAGCAGCTTTTGATTGAGCATGCTAAACTCACCTTGCCAGTTTCTGGGTTCATTGTGGTTTGTAGTAGGGAATGGAATAGTAAAGAGCATATCATTAAGTTAATGCCAGCTCCAGGTAATAAAGAAGATGTTGCATTAATGATCTCTTATTTTAACCAAATGCCATTTATTGGAAAAGTCATAAGTTAAAAGTAATATTTTAATATAATTAGCCCAAACCATGATGCCTTTAAAAACCAATGAAAAGACAATCCAGAGAATAGGATAAAATATTTGAAAATCATATACAGGGCTAAAGTCCAGCATATATAAAGAACTCTTACAACTCAACAACAAAAGACACAAACAACTATCTTAGTCAGCTTGGGCTCTTATAACAAAGTATCATAGACCGAGTGACTTAAACAACAGGCATTTATTTCTCACCGTTCTGGAGGCTGGGAAGCCTAAGATCATTGTGCTGGCAGATTTGGTTCCTGGTGAGAGCCCTCTTCCTGGCTTGCAGACAGCTGCCTTCTTGCTGTGTCCTCACGTGGCTGTTGAGAGGGTGCTCTAGTCTCTTCCTCTTTTTATATGGCCACTAACCCTATTATGGGTGCCCTACTTTCATGGCATCATTTAACCTTAATTACTTCTCAAAGGCCCCCATCTCTAAATACCATTACATTGGAGGTTAGGGCTTCAATGTATGGAACCCCGGGGGGATACAAACATTCAGTCCATAACATTCTACCGTTGCCCCCCCAAATATATGTCCTTCTCACATACAAACTATATTCATTTCATCCCAACAGCCCCAAAAGTCTTAACTCATTCTAGCATCACTCTTCATTTCAAAGTCCAAAGTCTCATCTAAATATCATCTAAAAAAGCTGCGGGTGAGACTTGAGGCAAAATTCTTTCCCATCTATGAACCTGTGAAACCAGATAAATTATGAACTTCAAAATACAATGGTAGGACAGTCGTAGAATACACATTACCATTCCGAAATAGGGAGGAAGGAAGAGGTGACAGGCCTCTAATGGAATTTGCCTCGTGAAATTTAGTGAGGCAAATTCCATTAGATCTTAAGGCTTAAGAATAATCCTCTTTGGTTTGGTACTTTGCCTTCTGGACTTACTGGAGCAGTGGTTTTTTCAGGAGTCACTGGAGTGGTGGTATCACCCCATGGGGCAGCCCTGCACCTTTGGCCCCCTCTGAGTGCTAGCCGTGCTGTGTTCTGCAGGAGCTGACCCGCACGGCATCCTGCCCTTGGAAACCAAGGTAGAGGCAGCCTTGGCCCTTGAACTCCAGCCCTGTTGTGGGAGTAGCAGCCCTGATGATCTCTGAAATTGCCTTTGGGGTCCTTCTTCCTTTTTCTTGAACTGTTTAAACTTCCTTCAGTTTGAATCATTTTCTTTACTTCCTTTAGTCTCAGCTGGCAGTATTTCTGCTGGTATAATCCCAATCCTGGCTTCTGTTCAGATGGCCAATTGGTTCCATGGCTCACACCCACATTAATCTGCTTACAAATAGTTGGCCACTACACTCTTGGTATTCTCTTCAGAACATGCTCTGTGTGTTTTTTGCAATATGGACAAGCTGAAAAATTTCCAAATCTTTAAGTTCATTTTTGCTTCACAACTTCTTTAGTTCATTTTTCTTTTCTTATATTTTACTATAAAGAGTCAGAAGGAACTAGGCTTGCTGGATCATATGGTAATTTTATTTTTAATTTTTTGAAGACTCTAACCATTTTACATTCCTATCAATAGTGCACAAGGGTTTAAGTTCTTCATGTCCTCAACAACACTTGGTATTTTGTTTTTTTGGTAGTGGACATCCTAATGAGTGTGAGGTGGTATCCTGTAGTTTTGATTTGCATTTCTCTAATGATTAGCGATGTTGAACATTTTTTCATGTGGTTAGTGGCCATTTGTTTATCTCTTTTGAAGAAATGTCTGTTCAAGTTCTTTGCCCATTTTTTAATTGAGGTTGCTATGGTTAATTTTATGTGTCAGCTTGACTAGGCCTAAGGGTGCCCAGATATTTGGTTAAACATTATGTCTCCGAGGGGGTTTCTGGATAAGATTAACATTTGATTCAGTAGATTGAGTAAAACAGATTGCTTTCTCCAATATGGGTAGGTAAGGAAGAATTCACTCTTTCTCCCTGACTGTCTTTGAGCTAGGACATTGGTCTTCTCCTGACTTCAGACTTAGACTAGAAGTTTCGCCATCAGCTCTCCTGGGTCTCCAACCTGCAGATCTTGGGACTTCTCAACTTCCATAATGTGTGAGCCAATTCCTTAAAAAAAAGATCCATCTATCTATATATTTCCTATTGATTCTGTTTCTCTGGAAACCCTGAGTCATACAGATTTTGATACTGAGAAGTAGAGTGCTACTATAATGGATACCTAAGAATGTGGAAGGGGCTTTGGAACTGGATAACTGGGTAGAGGCTAGTCAGAAGGAACTAAGCTTCTCCTTCAACACTTTGCTTAGAAATTTCTTGAGCTGAATATCCAGTTTCATCACTCACAAACTATACTTTCCACAAGACATTAGAACACAAACACAACTCAGCCAAGTCCTTTGCTGCTTTTTAACAAGAGTTGTCTTTCTTCCATGCCTATAACATGTTCCTCATTTCTGTATGAGACCTCATCAGAATGACTTTCACTGCCCATATTTCTGCCAGCATTTTATTTGTGATTATTATGTGCTCTAAGAACATGGAAGGCTTTTTCTCCAGCTCTCCTCTTTGCTTCCTGAGCTCTCACCAGAATTCCCTTTTAACACTCACTTCATGGCAATCTCAGCTTTTTCTAGCACACACTTTGGGTATTTACCCAAAAGAATTAAAATCGGATTCTTGAGAAATTTGTACACTCATGTTCATTGTGGCACTATTCACAACAGCCAAGTATCTATTAACAGATGAATGGATAAACAAAATGTGGCATATGCTTACAGTAGAATATTAATTCATCTTAAATAGGAAGAAAA